GCACACACTGCTGATAGCTGCCTTGCCGGGTCCAGCTTCGCAGTGTCCTTAGAGGAGGGATTGCAGGAGGAAGCACTCAGTAAGTCCCAGGTCGGGGTGTTAGGCTGCACGTTGGGACTGTCAGTGTTCTTCATACTTTTATGAAAGTGTTGGAAAATCTAATTGTTGGATGCAAATGTGATATTTTTAGATTTAGCTTTATCTTTTTTTTGCAGCTTCATTAAATTAATACTTATTTCTGCCACAAGTAGGACTTTGCAGCACAGGCAGCTGAAAAAAATTCTTATCCAGAAGTCATACAAAAATGATAAAGATGAAGCATATTAGAATTTTACTGTAGCAATCTGAGAATATGGTTATACAGCTTAATTTGTGGTTTACAGTCTTTCATGGCAAGGGATTTTTGTGACTGCAAAGGTTATCAGGTTTGTGCTGTGGTTCCTAGAGCAGGAATTACATGCCAACTCTATTTTTTAGCTGCTCAAGTGAGGGTGACTTGCTGGAGGCCGCTGTGGGTGTTCGGAATGGCATTATTGCAAAGTTGATCAAATATCCTTGTTAAAGACCATTGGAATGAATAGAAGAACTGTTTTATGGTGTGACATTAAAATGACAAAATGAGGTTTGCTAGAAGATCCTGGCATAAGTCTGTAAGGAAGAAGGCTAAATACTGGAAAAATATTAGATTGAGGGATGGCAATGGTACAAGATGAAATTGGTATCAGTTGATGACAAATATAGGTTGGAAATTAGAGGAAGGTATTTAACAGTTCTGTAGCAGCCTTGGAAATAGATCAGTAAGATAAAAAGCTTAAATAATGCTAAGAAACTGCTGGACCCGTGGAGGGGATCTTGTGACAAAACAGGAATGATCCCCGAGCTAGAATTCAAGTTTAGAATATGAGGATAATATTGCAGGAAGTCCTAGAAATAGCTCAGTAATAGTGATAGTGTTTTTCTTTTTTTGATGAGTTTGATCATAGTTTTTCATGTGATACGATATTTAAATCCCAAATCTTATTTAGTTCCCACCCTAAAAGTCTAGACAGGAACACTGGCATTCTCTTTCTGATCCCTTCCTTTAAAAAGTAGAAAAATGTGCCAGTATAATTCAATTGTCTTAACTTCTGATGCAGCAGTATTGACAAAAATGTGCAAGTATGTCCGTGTTTTAGACCAATGCTTCATTAATATCAAAATGACTTCTTTATTCTTTACTAGGTTACTTTTTGTTTTTATTTTTTTTCTTTAGGAAAAAATGGATATAAAAAAATCTGTGCGTCTGTACGTTACGCTAATAGGTATTTATTGCCAGACTAATATCAGATAGAAGAAAGACTAGTAATATATACAAAGCAAAGCAACATAATTTTAACAAAAAAAATGTTCCTTTGGCTTATGAATAAAATTGAATGAAAAATAAGTGAAGATAACCTGAATTAAGATAAATCTTTCCACACAAAATATTAAGGTATTTATTTGTTATAAAATAGATCTCTATGGAGTGTAAGCACTGACTCATCAACATCCTGATAGGATTTGCCATCACATAAGAAAATTAACAGCTAAGGTGCCTGCTTCTGTTGGTTATGTATAATAGGGTTTTTCTTCCTGTTTTGAATTGAGATTCTTCTGGACAATGTCTGTGGAGCGCTGCTTCAGTCTGTTTGAATTCTCAATAAATAAACTAGAACTTAAAAATTGTCAGAGAAGGCTGTTTTAGCTTTTATTGAATTTTTTTCTTCATTATAGGCTTCGTGAACTGCTGGAATCAGAAGAAAATAGGTACTTTGCTGAGATGGAGTCACTTGAAGAAACAGTCCTGGAAAAACAAGCAAAAATGAGAGAGCGGGCAAAATTGCTGAGAGAAAAGAGAGAAGAAGAAAGACAGAAGCTGGTTACTGAAAAACGAGAGCAGCAATTCAGGTATCTCCATAAAATTTCTCAATAAATAGAATTTAGGTAAGTAAATGCAAAGAGGCAATTTAACAAATGGGCGACAATATATTGAGGAAGAAAAGTGGCTTGTGATTGAAATGATAAATGCAGGGTTCGGGGGGTTTAAATAGAAGTGTGCAGGCTTTACCCACTTAGCTTGCCAAAACGTGAAATGTCTTGGGTACACTTTGGACCAGACTGTAGTCCTTCCAGTTTTTATTAGAGGGATGCAGCATCAGAGGCCCAGGATCCCAATGTGCAAAGCTGCAATGCTCACTGAAGTTGTGAACAAAATTCCTCATCAATAGCGATGAAAACAACAGGTACATGGAGTTGTCCTCTCTCTGTTATTTAAGTGTGGAGATACCAGAAAAAGATTCTTTCACATGTAGTATGGAAATCTTTGTCCCGTGTGAGTATCCCTGTGCTTTTTCCTGCAAAGTGAGCTCTTCCTTCCAAGCTTCTTGTTCAGGCATAGAGTTCTATTTCTGCTTTATACTTTGAGAGTAAAAATAGCCCATGAAAGCTTAATTTTGTCTAAAATGTTCAAGGACTCAAGTTGAAGCTAAGATTTTAATGCCACCTGAAGTTCTGAGACATGAGTTCCAGGATATTGAGTTTGGCAGTTTTTTTGAAGTTGTTATGATTTGCAGGTGCTTATCAGGCCCTGAGGCCTCAGCAGGGAGTCTGACTGTTCTTGGAAGTCTGTTTTTCCAAGGAAGGGATGAAAATACTACTAATGCAATTTAATTCTCATTATTCGAAGAACCCTTCCCAAACTTGCAGTGATATGGGAATCTCTCCACAGTGGAGAGACTGGGGTGTTGCATTTCACTTATACGTAAACTTTGACTACCTAATATGGCAGATAAATACCCCTTTCTTCAAATGTGTTTTCTATTGATGGAGATTGATTTTTGAGGCATTATATACGGTTCTAAATTCTCCTGCTGGCTTGAAAATATGGCCCTCATAAAAATTTTTCAATCCTAGCTTTTCACTACCCACAAACCCAAATAATTAAATTTGACTTTTAAGATACTTTAGTGGAGACATTTCTGGAGTGACCTTTACTTTGTCCCCATAACCATTCTTGCATACCAAGGAAGGGATTCATCTTGAGATTAAGACACATAAAAGTAGGTGTCTAAGCGTTGGTGTTTTTATATTCACTAGGTGTCTAAAATCCTCTTCTACTCAGTAGATCTTCACTGAGCTCAGGATAGTCAGAGAAGCCCCTTACCCTATCTAGAGCCTGGTCTAGCAGCTGAACTGCACCCCAAAGTCTATTTACTGTATTGACCAGATCCTCATTGCTAAATGGGAATTTAGCAGCTTGACTTACTGTAGATTACAATTTTGGATGTCTTATTTTAGATGTCTTGATGAATCCTCTGGTGGTATGTGCTTGAAACTGCATGCTGTGACACCCGCCTTCTTCCCAACACGGTTCTAATGGTCTGTGGCTCACTCAGTACCTCGCAGGATCAGTCCATCATCCTCCTGCTTTTCCCAGCCCGTTGCTGGATGCAATAATGTTCCTGCCACACAGTTTTCCATGTGCAAATGTTGCTGGACCTTTTGCAGTTGGTGTTCTGCTGACTGTAGTTTTTTAGAGGATTTAAATGCAACCAAATCATTTTTCTTCATGGCTGTTAATGAAAGTGTCCATACTTGGTGAGTATCTCTGCAGGGCAGTCTTCATCCTAGAGTGCAGAGAACCATCTTTGACTCTACCGACATCATGAAAATAAGTAAATACAGTCAGATTCTCCCTCCTTCTCTCCCTGTATCTAAGTTCTGTCAGATTTAGTTAAAGGTTTTACTTAAAGGAAGCTCATTATAATCCAAAGTCATTACAGTCTCTGCTGTTCTACATCTTGATATTTGTTAAAACTGATGGCTTAAAAGCAGTTTTAAATATGTGACTGGTACATTTAATTACATGAGCAGATTGTCTTTCCTGAAACATTGTTTATTCTGACTGAATGTGCTTGTAATACACCCTGTAAAGCATCCCCTTCCCCCAGTCTTTTTTCAACTTGGTGATATATTTGTCATTATTTCTGATCTAAAATAAGACCCATTGAAAGACTGAATCCCATTATCACAAGTTACATAATGTGAAAAAATGAATGGCCCCGCTTTGAGTGTGATGACCTGCAGAGGTCCCTTCCAGCCTCTGCTATTGCTTGGCTTTATGACTGCAATAAGCACTTCATAGAAAACTGGTCTTAAACGCCATGAGGAAAAATGGTAATGTTCAAAATAAGGATCGAGTTCAGAGATTTTGGTGGAACAATGAGAATTTTAGCAATTGCTGTACAATTCTGAATGTATCCTGTAGCACACACTCAGTGATGATCAGATGGTAGCAAAAAACAAACTCTGGTCATAGACTTTCACTGTTGAAGATCTAGTGGAAATTCCTTTCCCAGTGCATTCTTTGTAGTCAATATGTTGGAACTACAGAATCCCAGAATGGCTGAAGTTGGAAGGGACCTCTAGAGACCATCCAGTCCAACCCCTGCTCCAGCAGGGACACCCAGAGCAGGGGCACAGGGTGGCATCCAGGCGGGTTTGAAGATCTCCAGAGAAGGA